GGGGTCCGTCAACCCGCGCCCATGCCTATAAGCGCGCCCTCAAATTTCGAGGAGTTGACAAGCACCCTCCATTGGTATGAGGGCGCGTTATCTCGCTCATCATTCGGTAGGGCAGCGCCTGCTACAGGCACGAACGCCCTCAGCCGCAGGAAGGCAGGAGCACGAGGAGGATTCCGAGGAGAAGGAGGAAAAGGGCGGATCGAGGGAAGACGAGGACAAGTAGTAGGAGAAGAGGAAGATCGAGACAGATACAGGATGTGGAGCAGGATGAGGACCACAAGCAAGGTTTGGAGCGAGAGGGTGATGAGGAGGAGGGAGAGGGGGAGAATGACAAACACCAAAGTTAATCATCTCGTGGAGAAGGACATGAGACCGCGTGGAGAGGGGGGGAAAGGAGGGTGAGGTGAGAAGGAGGATGGGCATGCCGATCATGTGCGTGAAAGTTGGTGGTGACTGTCAGGATGAGCAAGATCATGAGGATGATGATGACGATGTTGATGTTGTTGATGATATGATGAGGATGCTGATGATGATGTTGCTGATGATGCTGATGCTGCTGATGATGATGATGCTGAAGATCATGATGACGATGCTGCTGCTGGTGCTGCTGCTGCTGATGATGATGATGCTGCTGATGATGATGATGATGCTGCTGATCATGATGATGAGGCTGATCATGATCATGATGATGAGGATGAGGAGGAGGAGGCGAAGGAGGATTGTGTGGATGAGGAAGATAGTGGAATTATGCAGGAGGGGCAAGAGAAGGAAACAGAGGGCGAGCGGGAACATGATAATGTGCGGGCGGGGAAGAGGGAAGAAACGTGGAAGGAGCAGAAGGACGACGGTGATGCCGATGAGAGTGGAGCGGACGTGACGATGAGGTGGGGGAGGGGAGGGTGCAGGAGCGGACGGTGATGAGAGGTAGGATAATCAGCAGGATGGGATGGCATGTGTAGAGAGGACACGGCGGAGGGAGATCTGAGGAGCAGGTGCGGGGACTGGAGCGTGGCGACAAGTAATCCTGTCAGAAGCTACCTCGTGGCCTTCGGCCGATCCCGTGACCAGACCTGGTTGGGGGCCAGAGCCCTCTTTGAGGCCCCTCTGGGTCTCTCGGGATACCTCTGGGGGACCTCTTGGAGGCCTCTTGGGGCCTCATGGCGGCCTCATTGGGGCCTCTTCGAGGCTTCTTGAAATTTTCTTCGGGCCTCTCTAGGGTAACTTGTGGGTGCAAGGGTCGCTCTTGGGGGAAGAAGACCCCTGCGGGCCCTTCGGGGTACCACCCTCTGGGCCCGAATACATTGAAAAACGTTTGGTGCGTCAATGACTTTTGACTTCGGGGAAGGTCGTGCGGCGATCCCCACAAGTCACGCGCCAGGCCTGGGACACTTGTAAGTTGGAGGACTGAGGACCCGAAATATGATGGAGAGTACTTAGCACACAGACATAATTCAACGGACCTGAGGACCCACGACTGAGTGCCCAGGTACGGCCTTGGTGGCGGATCTAGAAGCGGAGTTTTCGTATGGACTGAACTTTTAAAGGTGCCCCGAACGTCCATTGGGTCCGCCCAGTGCAAGTTCATCGGTGAGTTAGGATTGTCCGTGGGGCACCTGTCGGCAGGGCTGGACACATCTGTGGAGATGCGGTGACAGATTTAGGCACTGAAATCCAATACAGAGCTAATGGTAGGGGCACGGTTCGGGCGAATACGCTTATGAAAGCACACACACACATGTTTGATGTGCGTACACAAGTTGTCTACGGTACGAATAGATATGCCGACCTTCATTTGAAATCATGCTAGGAGCCTGCGTAGCCCCCATCAGCCGCTTCCCTTCGATTGATTTGTGTCTTGAGGGTAATCTTTCTTAGATCTGTCTCTGGGCCTTCCTTGAGTTCGTCCGACATGATTCGGCGATGTTGGGCCGTAGTGTAGCATCCTGGCCGTCTCGGGGCTGCCTCGCGGCATTGTTGGCCCATCTTGGGAGGAGGAGGAGGAGGAGGAGGAGGAGGAGGAGGAGGAGGAGGAGGAGGAGGTTGTAGTGGCCTCTGGCCAGTTCCACCGGTCCGGCGCGTTTCCGACCCTGTCGAAGACTCCGGCGACGAAGACGACGACGAACGACCAATGTCGACGGAATTTCGACGACGACAACCGACGAGGGAGGCGCTGGAGAAGTAGCGATTTGTCCACGGGGCGAGGGATCGACGGGCAGCACAGTCTCGACCGGGGGTGGCGCGGCACGCGCGAAAGAAGCTTTCGCTGGGCAGAGGTCTCCGTCTCATCCTCCTCCTGCCAGCCCTTTGCACATTGCACACGGCAGATTCACCAGTACTTCTCGTCCTCCCTTGCCTCGGCCACGCGCAGTGGGGGGTAGGGGAGCGGGGAAGGCTTCTTAGAAGGAGGCTGCTTCTTAGAAGGCGCGGGCCTGATCTATAGATCTAGGGGCGGCGCCTTTTCAGAATCAGCCTCCTATGAAGCCTTCCCCCCACCCCCCATCCTCTTTGCGCGCCGCCAAGTGCCTTCTCCTGCTCTCCCCCCATCTCCCTCCCCCCTCAGACATCCGCAACTCCGCGGCCTCGCAGGCCGGGCACCTGGATCCCGACCCCGTGGATGCGGGGCCTCTTTTCGCGGATGTTCCGCGCGGAACGTATCTGTGTGGCCGTGCATCCACGGGACCGCACCTTTGTATCCAGACATCCAGACCGCGAGGGGGTGGACATGGAAACGTTCGCTACTCGAGACTCCCCTTCCTCGCCCCCCCTCCTCGCCAGGGATGACGGCCGCTCCGCCGCACCCCCCTGACCAGAGGACAGAGCTGAGCGACTACGTGGTGCACGCGACGCGCCTGGGAGCCGCCCGCCGCGCGCGGTTTTCGGATGCCCGCGTCCCTCCCCACTCCTTGGCGCACGCGCCTTCCTCGAAGAAGAAGAAGAAGAATAACAACAATAATCAGAAAACTAGACTCGCCATCGTCGAAGTGGGAAGGCGATGGAGAAGACAGAATAAGTACAACAATCGGAATACGGTCAGCTCTTCCTCCTTCTGCCTTCTTCTTCCTCTCAATATCCCCTACCCCCATCTCTCTTCCTCTCCCTCCTCCGTGCTCCCCTTCCCCTCCCCTTCCCCCCCCCCAGTCTCCAGGAGGGGCGGGGGATGCGCCGCGGGAAGCAGAGGTAGGAAAGTGGCACCAGGAGGATGAGGAGGAGGAGGCTGAGTACGAGATGGGTGGTGATGGTGATGAGACGAGATGAGGATGAGGATGTGGATGAGGATGAGGATGATGGTGGTGGTCATGGTGTTGGTGGTGATGATGATGATGATGGTGATGATGATGGTGATGATCATGATGATGATGATCATGATAATGATGATGATGACGATGATGATGCTGATGATGATGATGACGACGATGATGATGATGATGATGATGAAGATGATGGTGATGCTGATGATGGTCGTGGTGGTGATGGTGATGATGGCGATGCTGACTATGAGAATGATGGTGGTGATGATGATGACGATGATAGTGGTGGTAGTGATGAGGCTTTTTGTTTAGTGGGCTGTTGGGAGGGGCAGGTCAAGAGGAGGATGAGGAGGAGGGCAGCAGGGGAGGAGAGTAAGACGAGGAGGAGGAGAGGAGGACATGAGGTGGAGGAAGAAGAGGCGGAGGAGGAGGAGGTGGAAGAGCGGGAGGAGGTTGAGGGCGGAGGGACGAGGGAAGACGGAGGAGGACGTTGAGGAGGAAGACTTGGCGGTGATGGGGCGGCCGTGGTGAAAGGCGAGCTTCTGACAAAAAAACAAAGCGGGCCGCCTGCGCAGCCGCCACGGTGGCCTGGGAGGGCGCCGGGGCCGGCGCGGACGTCGTCTTGGAGGCGCTGGAGGGGGGTGAGGTGGAGTCAAAGCAGTCAGAGGTCGTGAGCGGCGCAGGACTGCATTAAGATATCTCACGGCCTCGGCAGGAAGATGAGGAGGAGGAGGAGGAGGAGGAATAGGAGGAATAGGAGGATCAGGAATGAGATACGCATCAATTCTTCTTCAGGTGGCCAGGGGGGATGGTGCAAGCCGCCCTCTCTCGAGGAGCGAACGACACCCTTGGGCCAGAGAGGCCTTAAGCAGCTCTACGCAGGCAGCGAGGAGGGACAACGATTGGGGACAACGATGGGGGCAACGTGCCCCCGATCTCCAGGGCCGGGAATCCCCCAACGAGGGGGGGGGCCCTCGGTGGCAATGATGGGGGCAACGGGCCACCGATCTCCGGGGCCGGGCATTCTCCAACGAGGGGGGGGAACGGGTGGCAACGATGGGGGGCAACAGGTCCCCGCTCTCCGGGGCCCAGCATCCCTCAACGAGGGGGGCAGAACGGGTGGCAACGACGGGGGGCTTCGGTTCCCCGCTCTCCCAGGCCCGTAATCCCTCACCGGTGGGGGGACTGGGTGGCAACGATAGGGGGCTTCGGTTCCCCGCGCTCCCTGGCGCATAGTGCCCCACTGGTGAGGAGGGGTAACGGGGGGCAACGATGGCGGGCAAAGGGCTCCCGATACGTAACTGGGGCCCGGCATGCTTCACCGGGCTTTGGAGGCAATGTCTCGAACTCTTAGAGACAAGCGGGTCAGGAACATGACTAAATACGTACACATGATGTTGGAGTGTACGCCGTTGCACGCACGGCCTCTAGTGAGGCCTCTGGGGCAGACTGCTGCGGTGGTGGAGTGCCGCGTCCGCGCGGAGCTTTGCACTGAGGAGGTCCGCTCGGAGCGAAGTCTCCAAAGTGCACGGGATCGGGATTTAAAGCTGACGTGGCGGAGCTTGGACTCCGATTGTTACTTGCGCCTTTTCCAGGTTCTGGTGCACGGGGGGATTTTCGTTACTTTTCCACCCGTACCCGGGTCTGGGGCCACTGCAGGTTTTTACAGTCTCTTTCGAGTTCAGCGCTATAGAAGGGTGTTTAAGTAGTTTCGTCGTGCTGCAGATGCTGCAGCGTGGTGCTGCAACAAAAAAAAGCAGCGCGGAGTCGACTCGGAAAGGGGTCTCGATGCGAAGGGGATGTGGGCACAGCTGGGGCCCCCACGATCTGCCCCACTCGGTAAGCTCTCGGCTCACCGCTCGCCGGGGCGTGCTCCGAGCTGTGGCCGCTGCCTGGGCTCGAGGACGGACGAGATCGGCAGTGCTCCTCCTGGCATATTGGCTCCCTCCCGTCCTCCTCTCCGGGCCCGGTTCCCCGATCCTCTCCGCCTCCTTCGTCTTGCCTTTTCCCCATGTCCCCTCTCCCCCCATCCTCGGCCTCTCCTTCTCCCCCGCCTCCCCCGGGATGCAACTGGGAAGTCAGTGAGTCAACCTAGCCACGGTCGAACAAGTCAGCGGGTCCCTCCTGTTTCAACCATGCCCCCCTCACAGTAATCAATGCTTGCACAACCTGAGGTTGGGACTGGAGCATCTTCTCATCTAGCGAACGTAAGGCGCTCCAGCGCAATCCCGTTTCCGACAATTTGGCGAGGTTTTTCCTCCTCCCCTGAGATCCGACGTTGCAAAAGGTCGCAAAATCGCGAACAAGTGTTGCCGAGGCTCTAGACCCCATCTGTTTGCGTCATTTTTCAAACTGGATGGATCTGTGAGGGCCCAGCGCCCGAAACTGGGAGAAATCACCCGTTGCGAAAAAATCAGCAACGCCCGTCCTGCCTCCTCTCTCCCCAGACTCCTGACGTCATGATTTCCATGACGTCGATCCCAAGAGCTCTCGACCCATTTCCCGCGATTGGTTCTTCATTCTGAGAAGTGTGTTTGAATGCCCCGAGGCCTGGGAAGAGCCCCCCAGACACTGAAAATAGCGAAAAATCATCCGTGGTGTTTTTGTCAATGTTTCGAGGGGGCCTGGAGGCCTGGGCGAGGGGGGTCTGCATCACCCCAACATACTCACACTACAGGCATGTGTCTGTCGCCCCCCCCCCGGGGCGACGCGCGCGTCGAGCACATCATCTCACAGTACTTGCTCGGTGGCGGGCACCTTCTGGCCGTACCCTCTCGGCAACGAGATACTACATGAGATGCTTGTGCCATGTGCTCGGTTCGGACGTGCGCCCGCATGGGTGGCGCACAGTATCGGCATACATATATATATATATATATATATATACATGTGTGTATATATATATATATATATATATATATCCGTCGGCGTCCCCGAGGGGGGCCCGCGGCTGGCCGGGCAGGCGCTCCTGGACCAGCTGGGCCGCGCGCTCTGCCAGCTGCACACCCTCTCCGGGCGGCTGCCCCCGGGCGCCGCGCCGCCGGCCGAGGCGGGCATCGATCGATCGCGCGCGCCGGCCTCCGCGGCTCCGGTCGCCGCCGCGCGCCGCCGCGCGCCGCGGCTCGCCGGTTGCCCTATAGCTGCCCCGCGCTGCCCGGCCTCCTCGCTGTCGGGCGTGGTCGTCGGCGCTCGGCGGCTTGCCGGCCTCGGGGTGCTCTCCGGCGGCTGCACCTCGCCGAGGGCGCCCGCAGGGGGGTTGCCCCGCCCGTCCCGAGCGGCCCGTTTTGGGAGGCAGCGCGCGCCCCGTGTGCCAAACGTCTGGGTTGGACACGCTGCGTGTTGGCTCTGCACGTGTGGGCCCACGTGTCGGCGAAGGTATCGCGCCAGGCTTGCGCTTTCAGTCTGCGTGCTGAGCTTCGTGACAACACGCTACAGGTTGCGTGTTGCGTGCCAGGGCAGCCAGGGCGGTCGCCGGTCGCGTTTCGCCAGCGGCAACGTCGATGTCTGCAGGTCGCCGTCGGCGTTCGCTGTTGGGCACCGTCGTCACTGCCGTTCGCCGCCGCTTGCCATTCGCCGTCGGCGTTCGTCAGGGGCAACGTCGGGGGGGCTGAGGAAGTGGGCTCAGGTCGGGGAGACGTAAGACTCGGGTTCGGGGGACTCGGGTTGGCCTGACAGGGCCATCATGACGCGAGTTGCCGCTGCAAACATCCCACGAAAACTGGACCGTCAAAATCCAGGGCGCGCCTCTCAAAAAGCGTCGGCAAGCCCGCGAGTTACAGCGTACTCGAGTCTTACATTTCCCCGATCACAGGGTGGGGGGGCGGGAGGAATTTCGTTTTTTTTCTGGCGTTGTCCTGGGTCCTCGGCGGCTTTCCGGCCGCGGGGTGCTCTCTGGCAGCTGCGCCTCGCTGAGAGATTCTTCCCTCCTCCGGCTCACATCGCCCTCGCTCTGCCTTTTGCGCTCGACCCTCCCCGTGGCATCTGAGCCACCGTGGGCATCGTCACGAGCTCTCCTTCTCCTGGGGGAGGGCATATCCGCAGAAGCCTCCTGCAGACAATCTGCGCCGATCTTAAAACCCGCGCGGAGCTCCGAACGTTTGTGCCCATGCCGTTTTTCGTTCCTCTGGCCACATTGAGAAGCCCCTCGACCCTCTGAGTGTCTGCGCGGGGGCTCTCCCGTGGCAGGCTGATGCTTAAGCGGTGCTCGATGCGCTTGTAGTTGCCGTGATGCGTGCGCCACTTGGGAAGAGTGGGCGTCGTGTTTCGTGAAACAAAGATCCTCCATCATTCACGGTCGTTTCGCGTCGTGTTGACCTGCGGCGTCTCCACCGCAGGCGTTCAACGTTGAACGCCGCTGGCGACCCAGAATCGGTCGATGTTGAACGATCTGACGATCTGGAAACGGCCGATCATCCAAGGTCGAACGATCCCCGCGGTGTCAGGAACCACTGCCGGGATCGACACGACACGAACTCGCGGTAGCCCCGTTCGGCGTGCCTCCCTCGGCGCTGCTCCCCTCCGCTGGCGCGAGGCGTGGCTCGCTCCGCCGGCCGTCCTGCGCGAGTTCAAAAGGGCCACCGCCTCGGCCGAGCAGTTCGCCACGGCCCCGCCGCCGGCGCAGGCGGTTTTTTCGGGGGAAACGGGCCGCTCGGCCGCCAGCTAAGGTATCGGGCTTGGTCAGGTTGACCAACCCTTGGCCTTCCTCCTTAGGCTGTGATCGTCCTCCCTCTCCCCCAGCCCAGGGTCATGCCTGCGGGTGACCGACGCAGGAGACGCGCTGCCTCCTGGGAGTCTTGGGACATCGGTCTTCCAGGCGGTGGACATGTCTGAAGTACAAGCTCCGGCCATTGGCTTCCCAGCCATCTGGCGGCTCTACCCAAATCGCGACGGCCGTTGTCTTCTGCAGTCTGGGCCCTTTTGAGGCTGAGGTCGTGCCCCAGGGCAAGCACATATCGATTCAGGATAAAAGGCTGGCCCTGGAGAAGGGGTCGGGAGGTCTGAGGCCCCATGTTTCGAAACCCGCGAGCAGGCGGATGCCAGTGCCATTATTTCAGAGTCGTTCGGCGACCTGTTAAGCTTACTCCGCTTGCCCGTCACACTCTTCGTGGGCGTGTTCGATCGGCAATCCAGATTCCTTCTTCTCTGCAATCTTCTTCCAATCCTTCTCGTCCTACTCCCCTTCGCCCCCTGGTCCCAAAACTTTCCTCCCCTTTCTTTCCTCCCTCGTCTTGAGCAGCCTGGGCGTCCATAGTGGACTTCCTTGGTGCAGCTAGTCGCCACTTCTGCGCGGTGTCGTCAATGCGTCTCACTTTCGGGAAACAGGTAAGACTCGAGTACGCCGGAACTCGCGGGCTTGCCGACGCTTTTTGACGAGCGCGTCCTCGATTTTGACGGTCCCGTTTCCGTGGGCTGCTTGCAGCGGGAGTTCGCGTCAAATGTCGCATTTGGTCTCGTCTTTCTTATGATGGCCCCGTCGGGCCAACTCGAGTCCCCCGAACCGAAGTCTCACGTCTCCCCGACACTTGCCCGAGCCCAGATCAAGTCATCCGCCGCTCGTTCGATGGGCTTCCGAAGGCCCACCGCGCTCACGCTGGAGACCCGCCCTCCCCCGGCGACGAGGTCGACTCTGGAAGGGCGGCTTCTCCCTTCCACCTGGCAGCCTCCTCGGAAGATGGCCAACCAACCACCCCTGATAGTAACACCCGGGGGGATAAAGAAAGTTCGGGGTCCGAGGGAGGTAATAAGCGAGGTGTCCCGGCAAGTTGACGACGACGACGGCGAGGATGTGCTCCTCCTGCTCTGAGATCCTTGGCCCGCTCTTGAGATACTTGGTAGGTGCTCTCGAGATCCTAAAGCTTGCCCGCGCTCTTCAGATCCTTGACTCTACTCGCCAGAAACCTCCCTTGCCAGTCAACACATGATGATCGCAACTTCGAATCGTAACTTTCCTCCGTGATGATAGGTTCGGCCCTGCCGCCCCTCTCTCTCGACCAATTCTGCACTGGCGGGGGATAATCAACTCTCAGCTGGGACGGGGGCGGGGATGATTTAATATCCGGGTCTTGCGGTCGGGTGTGTGGACGCCTTCGTGCATCAAGCAGTGGCGAAGCGTCCTGGCTTGCCCATCGACTCACCAAATAATGTTCGAAGAACCTTTCGTGGTTTGCAGGAATTGTTGATCGAACAATCGTTTGTTCTAAAATCATTATGTAGTAGGCCTATGGGGACGCCAGGACGGTCGGTCCCTGCTCAAGTGCAGAGCCGCCTGGGTTCGCTCCAGAAAAGGGGGAGAGGGCTCAGACCTCCAACCTATTCAAAAAATTCGGTACGGAGGTGTTCCGTTGTGTTCGGCCTCCTGGGTGTCTCGCCAGAGACCCCGGGAGCGTTAAGTAATGACGCGGGATGCGAAGCCGGCCCTGGGGAAAGGGCAGGGGCTCCTGGAAGCCCCGTGTGCAAAACCCAAGGCTTCCCTTCTCTCGGCGAAGGCCAGCGGAAGTAACACGGGGGCAGCGCCGCCGGCGGAAGTCAAGACGAAGCGGGCGGAAGTAAGCTTCTGGAACGAGCAGCGAGGTCTCCCCGCCAGAGGCTGGAGAGGAGGGCGTGAGAGCAGGGCGCAGCGGAGCGGCCCCGGGAGAGGGTGCCGTTCCGAGGCCGCTCCCGTCCTCTGGCTTTGGCCCTAGTGCGGCCCTGCACCAGGCTTTTGTCAGAGGCTGGGGAAGCCGTTTGATTCTGAGAAGAGATTCAAACATGACTTCTGGAGGTTCGCGCGGGTTTCTCGGATCGGAGGTGGGCCCTTTTGGAGGCGCCTCCGGCGCCGCCCTTGGTGCGCTCCGCGTGCCAAGGAAGGGGGGAAGAAGGGAAAATCGGCAGTCGGGAAATTCGGTTACGCCGCCGTTGTTAGGCCGCCGGTTCTCGTCCACACCGCTGCGGCGCGACACGCGAACCTCGTCCTGGTCCCCAAACGTCAGCGTCCTGCGCCCTTCGAAGCCTCCCGCCCCGCGTAGCGGATCCACACGCTACCCGCTTTCAGGGTATAGCGTGTCACTGGGGCCGCCGCCGCGACACGCTAAGCAGAGGTCCCTGACCGCATCTGTTGAAGCCGCCCCACCAAGGGAACCGTAGGTCGTCGCCGTGCGGTGCGTGACGTGCGTACGATGCTGTTCCTGCTGGGGCACCGCGCCACGGCAGGTGCACCGCGCCACGGAGAAGAGACGAGGATAAGGAGGAGGAGGACGAGCAGTACGGTGATGAGAATGATGACGGTGATGATGGTGACGATGTTTATAATAATGATGATGAGGAAGATGATGATGAAGATGACCATGACAATGACGGTGACGATGATGTTGATGATGATGGTGGTAGTGTTGATAATTGCGATGATGTTGTTGATGATGATGGTGGTATTGATAAATGGTGGTGATGGTGATGATGATGCACATTCTTTACGATGATGGTTATGTTGATGAGGTTGTTGATGATAATGGTGATGCTGATGACGATGACGATGATGATGGCGTTGGTGACGATGATTTTGGTGCTGGTGGTGATGATGATGATGATGATGATGGTGATGCTGATGCTGATGCTGATGCTGATGATGATGCTGCTGCTGGCGATGATCCTGTTTGCGATGCATATGCTGATGGTAATGTTGGTGGTCTTATTGCTGCTGACTATGAGGATGATGATGGTGATGATGAAGATGCTGATGATGGTGATGTCGATGACGATGATGCTGATCTGTATACGGATGCTGCTGGTGACGATGGGGGGCGATGGGGACGAGGACGATGATGATGATGATGTCCATGACGTTGATGACGTTGATGATGGTGATGATGGTGATGATGGTAAAGGTGATGATGATGATGGTGATGATGATGTTGCGCACAATGCTGGTGATTAGCATGATGGTGACGATGGTGATGAGGATGACGGCGATGATGATGATGCTGCTGATGACGATGATTATCATGATGATGATGGTGATGATGATTGCGATGATGGTGAGTATGATGCTAATAATGATTATCATGATGCAGTCGGTGATTCGGATGATGGTGGCGACCGATTTTGTCGATGCAGACGAGGATGATGAGGGCGATAATGATGACGACGCCCCTGATGATGCCGAGCATGTGATGATGATGGTGCATGTGATGATCATGATGGTAATGGTGATGGTGTTGATGATGATGGTGCTGATGGTTCTTGATGATGGTATTCATGCTGATGCTGCTGACGATGATGATGATGATGATGATGATGATGATGATAATGATGATGCTGGTTATAATGACAATGACGTTGACGATGCTAATCATGCTGATGATCATGCCGATGACGACGATGGTGATGATGACGAGTATGATTAGGATGCGGATTATTATGATGATGATGGTGTTGATGAGGATACTGGTGGTGGCGATCAAGATGATGATTGTGGTGACGATGATGATGATGGCGATGATGATGATGATTATGATGGTGATGCTGATGATGATGCCGATTACGCGTATGATGCTCAGGATGTTTATAATGCTGACGTCGATGATGATGGACTTGAGGTTGATGAGGATGATGCTATTGCTGCTGCTGCTGGCGACGATGATGTCGATGACGATTGTGTGTTTGATGATGACGATGGCGATGCTGATGATGCTGCTGACCCTGTTGATGCTGATCATGTTGATGACGATGATGATAGTGATGATATATCTGGGTAACTTTGATAGTGATGATGATGCTGATGCTGGTGACGATGATGATACTAAGGATGCTGACGATGATGATGGTTACGATGTTGGTGACAATTATGATACAGATGATGCTGCTGATGATGATGTTGATGATGATACCGTTGCTGCTGAGAATGGTGATAATGATGAGCATGATTCAGGTGATGGTGATGATGATGCTGGTGTTATTGATGTTTATAATACTGATGCGGATGGCGATGCTGATGTTGATTATGCCGATGTTGATAACGATGATGATATTGATGTTTATACTGCTGACGATGATGATGACGATAACGATGGTGTTGAGGATAATGACGAGGACGATGCTGATTATACTGATGATCCTGGTGACCATGTCATGATCATGCTGACGACGATGATGGTGATCAGTATGATTAGGTTAGTGGTGATGATATCAGTGATGCTGCTGACAATGGTAATGATGCTGATTACGGCGATAATGATGATGATGATCATGGTGATGATGCTGATTACGACGATGATGATGATAATGATACTGCTCATGATTATGATGTTGATAGTGATGATTATGGTGTTATTGCTGTTGATGCTGATGGTGATGATGACGATAATCGTTGTGATGATGTCGATGACGATGATGTTGTTGCTGCTGATGATGGTGATGATGATGATTGCGATGATGGTGACGATGAGGAGGAGCCAGGAGGAGTAGGAGCTCAGCGTAGCAGGATTAGGCGAGCCCTCGCGACCTGCCAGAGTCGGCGGCGCCGCGGCTCGCATACCCCGCCCGCGGCAGCCTTCTCCCGAGAAGATGACGAGTGACGATGAGGACGCCGACGACGCAGACGCCGCCGCCGTCGAGGACGGCGACGACGACGACGACGACGACGACGACGACGACTATGACGACGACTACGACGACGCTGCGACGACGAGCGCAGGTGTCGGCAGACAGGCTGCTGCGCCACGTGCCCCACGGCGTTCCCTTCGAGACACGCGTGGACCTGCTCAGGGCCCGCGTCCAGGAGATCCTT